AATTAATGAATAAATAGTAACAAAAGTAATAGTCCAACACCATATACAAAAAGTGAAACCCTTTGTTGCGTCCCTGTAGAGCAATGGTTAGCTCGTTGGACTTCTAATCCAAATAGCGAGGGTTCGAATCCTATCTGGGATGGCCTAATTTCACGAGAATGTGATTTATGTAAAACTAAATAGTAACAAACACACAAAAGTAATAGTCCAATACCATATATACAAAAAGAAAATTCGCTTTCTATTTTTTCACTTAATACTGTGATTTTGTCAAATAAATGGATATGCATATTTATATTAATTGCAATTATTTAATAAAAAATAGTTAAAATAAAACACATTTCTTTTTTGACCTAAATAGGAATTGACTTTTGAATTTTTTTTTTATAATACTTGTTTATGTCAGTCACAGAAATACAATTATTTTAACTTAATGACATTTATATAAATCAACACAGTTATTCGGCAATAAAATGATTTTTCAAATTGTTTTTAGAACATCTCAGAAAGTAAAAAATAAATTTAATGAGATTAGTATTATTTTTTTCCTTATTACTTCTCAAAATGACAACAACAAAAAATCTCTCACAATTATATCTTAATTCCTTCATATTAATTATGCATCCACATTTAAATAAAATACATATATTTCCAGCCTGAAATAAATAAAGAATTATTTAAATATAACAAACTACTATAATAGTTGTGGATTAGGTGTTTACTCATTTTTAACGAAGTAAACAGGTTCAGAAATTTTCAGTGTTTCTTATAAAGGAAGACTATGCCTAAAAATTTGTTTACGAGGAGTTTCTGCTTGTTATTGTTCACTTTCTCCTAGTAACTAAGACGCACTGTCACTTCCAGCTTTATGTTTAAAAAAACATATACATTTCCCTTCTGTAAATTTTGAATTTTGGCTTCTGGCATCACAAAATTAAATTCAGAAAATAAGAAATTGTTTTCCATTTTTTTTTCTTGAGTGCATACAGTAATTATGTTTTTAAACTTTCTGTTTAATAAAAGCTCAAAAATATATAAATCAGACTCATTACATTTATTGAATTTATTTTTCACTAGTGGAAGTAACATTCGTCTCAGTAACTTTTATATTAATATATCTTTTGCATGTATGAAATAATGAAATACTTCTCAAAAAATTATTCTTTTAAAAACTTATCAAAATATCTATTTAAAAAATAAAATATATTTATTTTTTTAAAAAGTTTTAAAGTATTTTAAGTTTTTCTTAAAATATAAAGTTTATCTTAAAACTATCAAACGCAAAACATGTCAGTTACTGAAATGCCTAAATCTATTTTGTTGGATCTTACTTTTTCAGTTCTTTAAATTTAAGAGTTGATTTTATGGCGAACATTTTTCACACTCATCGGAGTCGGAAAGTATGAAACAGCAGTTGCAGAACAGAACAAAAAAATGCTTTCTAATAGGGGTATGGTCCCTTTTTTAGATAAACAGGCCTCTCTCCGTGATTTTATACCGGAAATAAGGGGATTCATTCCCTTATTTCCGGTATTATTCCCTTATTATGAATTCCTGTTGCAATTATTCCCATTCGGTCAGTAACTCTGCTTTCAGGTCTTGGATAGTTCTCGGAGGGGGAGGGGGGAGTTACAAATGCCGCTTTCAGAGCATCGCTAGGCATGCTCTATAACAGGGATGGTGAACCAGTAGCACGTGTGCCATTGATGGCACGCGACACAATATTTTGGGCATGCCACCGATCAAAATGATTTGCATTTTAATTAAAATAACAAAGTTCAATATGAAGTGTTAGAAACAAACACGAATGATCGGTCGCCTTTTCCAACGAGATTTTCTCAGTTCAAAGAATTATCGAGAACGCTCAAGTTTCTTATGTACCCTGATGTGACTTCATTTAATAAACAGAATTCGTCCTGATTCGATTAGTTGTAAATTGAAAAATTCGAAATGCAACTGAATGATTTCGAGTCTAGTTCAATATGGATTCAAAAATTTGTTGAAGAAAGGAGAAAGTTGGAATTAATTGAAACAGAAATATTGAAAAGCAATATAAGTAAAAATGAGTAATGAAATTTTGGAAACAGGGAATTCAATTCAAGATACATTTAGCTGTCTGAAGAAACTGTATCATGGCATTTTAACCATATTTTCCTCAACCAATGCCTGCGAGTCACTATTTTCAGAGATAAATAACATTAAAGACTTACTTAGAAACCGTTTGGCAGATGATTAAAATTCAGCTTGCATTCTGCTAAAAGTAACATCTTAAATCCTATAATACAGGTTATTTGTCATCTAATCTGCCACAACAGAGTTCACACTAATGTTACTTTAATTTGAATTGCACTTATAAATAAAACATTTACTACTATACAGTGAAAATTTTATCTTTTCGTTGTAAATAACGAGTTTTGAGTTGTTAGTATTTAGTTTTATTATTTTCTGAATAATCACAAGTCAAAATTATTTGATGGCACGTCTATATATCACTAAACATTTCTTAAGGGAAAAATGACAAGTTGATCCAAAAAGGTTCTCCGCCCCTGCTCTATAAGGTAAAGATCTGGATATCTCACTGGTCAATCCATCTAGCGAATATCCTTCCTTTTCAAAAATTTGTCCACCAGATCTTGTGTATAGGGTTCTGCGTTGTCATCTATTAAAAGGAAATCAGGGCCAACTAACATAAGGCTCCGAGACCTCTCTCATCCCTGTACCTCATACTAGTCTCTTTCAAGGACATGGAGGCGTATACTGCCTTCCAGTGTGATACCTGACCAGACTAGCAAGCTTCTGCTGTAGTAATGGTCGATTTGGAGGACATTTAAGGGCAGGTAACTGGTCATTGGTTCTCTCTATATGAAAGTACGGCGATAATCACTTACGTGGTTCAACTGGGACTCATCAGAGAAGAGAATGAACGTCCATTTATCCATGCTGCAATCTCTATGATCTCTTGCTCATTTTAAACGGACTCTCCTGATCACAGAACTGAGTAGGATGGAAACAACAGGTCTTTTTTCAAACAGACCTTTCTCATGAAGTCTTCTAGAAACAGTCACATAGAAAAGTCGGGTTTCTGTGGCTGCATACAACTCCCAATAAGGTGAGAAGCTTAATCATCCCTGTTACATTTCGCTACAATGGACAAATGGCGATTTTCTCTGGCAGTTGTAGATTATGGACGACATTGTTCAGGCTTTCTAACGAATTTGGTATCCTGAATCTGTTTCCATAAGTCGAACATGACACTGGGCGTTAAGATGAGTTTTCTGCAAATCTGGAATTGAGACTGTCCTGCTTCTAGCCTACCTACAGTTCTCCACTTCATTCCATCATCTAAACGTTGGTGGTTACTGATTTTTACTGCTTGAATTTAAATTTAACTGATTGTGGCATAAAAACGCCAGGAAATTCGGCGAGGTGTGCTCACAAGGAAATGCAAAATTTGGCAGTTGCAGTTATAAATCCAGTTCTTCGACTAACTTTGCCTTCCCACGCGTAGGTGCTTTCATATTCGACGTTCAATATTAGATGTGTCCAGTTTTATAGCTGACAAATTCTCTTTCTTTTAGAAAGAGCCCTCGTCAGCCCCCCCCCCCAATCTCAAGGAATTGGGCTTTGCTTTTATTTCTACTTTACAATGTGAATGGAGCATTGAAAATCTTTATTTTATTCTCTAAATATTTCTGTACTATAATAAACTTGATTTTAAAAAAAATTTTATATATATATATGACATGTTTTTGGAGTCCAAAACAGACTTAGTTTTAAAAAAGGTCTTTATTCTGGAATGAGCACATCTCTTCTTACGCAAGAGGCAGAGAGAAAAAGAACGCCACCGAAAATCTTAAGTGGGTTAAACACTTAAAACACCGATCGCGGTGTTCATGAGTGCTCTTGAAAGTTAATGCTGACATATAGGACTATTAAATATAACGATCTGGAATTAGACATGTTTATTGGCAAGGCCATATGTTCGGAAGAAATAAATGGGTGATTAGTTTGATACTTGAAGAGGTGAGGAGAAAAATAAAAGTGAAGTGCTAGATAGGGAATTTAATTTTTAATCTAATTTAATTATCCTTACATATATATAATTGTTCTACTTTTTTATAGTATCGTTTAAAAAATAACAATTGCATTAACATAAAACTGTATATTAGTATCATAGCTAAATTCATGTTTAAAAGAAGCTAAAAATACACATTTAAGAAATTATTACATTTTAGCTTTTTTTATTGTAACATATATTATCTAAACAAATTGTTCTAGTTTCGTATATATAAATTTGTCTTATAATTCATTCCAGTCTTTCTAAACGTGAGGAAGAAAATCAATAACTGAACAAACTATTAATAACGTAACAACTAAAAACTGTCAATAAATATTTTCAAATTTCCCTTTCTATATTATGCAGGAATATATTTTCTTTAGATGAATAATGACGTGTTCCACACACACAATAAATTGAAAATAATGATTAAAAATATAAGCGATAGAATACAGTATAATTTTCTGGATCGCGAGTTTTCAACAAAAGTATTTTAATTTATTTCATTAAACATTTCAAGCATTTATTACTTTCATCATTTCCATAAAGTCAAAAAAGAAGTAAAATTAAAGCTCAAAGTTTATGCTGTATTCCTTGCCAGATATATCAGAGAATAAGACTGAGGTGTTTTTAATTAAAATGATTTCTTTTTTCCCCATTATTTAATTTACTATGAGAAGAATAAATGTGAGTTTTCATAACTTACTATTGTTTTAAATACATCTCACACCAAAATGAATTTTCCAAAGGCATTCATCCTTCTGTTTATCTTTGCATATTTTGCCACTATAACCATAATAAATTAAAAAAAGAAATGAGAAATTTCAATTTCATAAAATTTAAAAATAGAATTCATTGTTCAGATGCATATCATAAATGATAAGTTTTAATTAAAACTTATAGGGATAACTGGTTGGAAAAACTTCACGAATTTCTGATTATTTGCAAACGTTCGGCATTATTTAAATCTCGTTAAATAAATACGTATTGTTCATAATAACACGCATTTAAGTTTAATTTAAAGAGGAGATATGTTAAGTTTTAATTAAGATTCATGTGTTCTTTTACTAAACTTTGTTTATCTT